TTTTAAAGTCTCCATTAGAAGTTGGGCATAGAGCCTGGTATATCAGTGCACACCATTAATCCCAGCACTTGGGAGGCCAAGGCAGGCAGACCTCTGTGTGTCTGAGGCCACCCTGGGCTTCAGAGTGAGTTCCAGTACAGCCGAGAGTGTTATACCAGAGAAACTCTGTCCTGAAAAAAAGAAGAAAAGGGCAAGCTGGGTGTAATTTTGTGTTTCTTGGTATTTTCCCCTTGCAACTTTCCAATATTCTTTCTTTGTTCTGTACATTCAGTGTTTTGACTATGTGCCAGGCGGACTTTCTTTCTGGTCCAGTGTATTTGATGATCTGTGTCTTTGACCTGGGCCTCTTCTCCCTCCTCTATTCCTATTATTCTTACATTTAGATCTCCTGAAATTTTTTTTTTTAGATTTAACATTTTCTTTGACTAAGATATCCATTTTTTAAAATATGCATATATGTGTGTGGATATGTGCACATGTGTGCAAGCACCCTCAGAGTCCAGAAGATGTTGGATCTCCTAGAGCTAGAGTTACATGTGGTAGTAAACTGCCTTCCTGAATTCTGAGAACTGAACTGAGATCCTCTGCAAGAACTTTAAGCCCTTTTAACCACCGAGCTATCTCTCCATTCCCAGTTATAGCAGACTTTAGAAAGCTTATAGTCAGAGGGCTAGAGGCAGTTTTAATCTTTCATTTATGAACGGGTTACAAATAACATGATTTGAACGTGACAGGAAACACTATTTAATTCTCTCCTGTGGGAAATTTAAAACAGAGTGGGGCTCTGTTCTTCGAAACCCTCAGGGGTCTCCGTTCCCTCCCTCTGTTGCTCTGTTAGGTAGAAACAGTGGCCTGTGATGGTCCTATAGAAACAGTGGCCATATAGAAGCGGTGGTCTGCAATGCTGCACTCGGCCCTATAGAAGCGATGCTATAGGAGACTTGGAAATGTAAACTTGATTTTAGCCAACTGTGCAGATGTGTAAATGCCATGTCTGTGGAAGGAGCAGTCACCACAGTAGACCTCCACATTGCAAAATCCATATTCTTTGTCAAAAGGGAGGGCTCCTTGCTGGTGGAGGAGTGCACTGGGCTCTTAGTCCTGGCATTCATATTTGTCTATGGCAGGCAAGGCAATTGTGCAGCTCAGGGTACCAGGGGTTCTGGGAGGTGTGTAACTTCCTGTGGAGGAAATGAACACGAAGGAGAGCTTCCAGAGCACTCCTAATCGGAACTCTGGTGAGAGGCAAGCTGACAGCCAGCCAGTGACCACAGAAAGGAGGCTAACTTGAGGCCCTGACACCACTGGAGATCTGAAAGACCTGGAGGGAAGAGCCCAGTGGGGAAAGATCTTTGAGAAAGCCTTTACATACGTGGTGAGGAATGTGTAGAGCCGCCCCTGGGGTGATGAATGGAGGCTGACCTTGAGGGCTGTGTATGAAGCAGTGTCATTTATGGTCTATGTTTGCTCATTCCCTGTGGGGAGTGGCTCCCCTTCTTGTCCACTGGCTCACCACCAAAGCCCCACAGGCAAGTTCTCTTTATGTGCTGGAAGAGGATCGCCCTGCTTCGACTGCAAGTTTAAAAGACTTCCGTTTTGGAAAAATCGGGACTCTTGAAGGGAGAGATTCAGATCTGTGGGTGAGCAGCATGTTGCCTGGAAGACAGTAAAGGAGAAACAGTGATGGGGAGATGTGGCATATCAAGCCCCTGGAGCATGTGCCCTTCCCTTCCTGCCTGCTGGGTTGGATGCCGGCTGCTTGACTGAGAAGTCAACTCAGCCTCCAGTGGGCCTATAAGAGGTGGGACCACCGTGCTGGAAAGATGGCTCTGTGTAAAAGCATCTGTTGCTCACAGCTGTAAACTGCAGTTCCTCAATGTAGTATGAATAATAATAATAATAATAATAATAATAATAATAATAATAATAAGCCAAACCCAGATGTGGGGTTCAAGCTTCAGCTGGAAGATCAGAAAAGCAAAGGACCCAGACACGAGACACAAGCTCTCACTTTGACCTCATACCAAAATGGGTGATCCTGTCTCCATGAGTCCTCAGAGTGCAATCCTCAGAGGCAATATGCAAACTGCACCGCTCTCCACCAAGCCTCAGACTGCAATCCCAGACTGTTCCTGACTTCACTGCTCAGATTCACTCAGAATGCCATGATCAACTCAACGCGGAGACTGACTTTGCTTCTTCCTTATATAACTCTCTAGTGCTGGGATTAAAGGCTGTCATCCCAAGTGCTGAGATCACCTTTGCATGAACTCTGTTTCTCTTTTACACTGGATCAATTTTGTGTAGCTCAGTGTAACCTTGAACTATAGATCTTGAATAGAGATCTATCTGTCTATCTCCCAAATCCTGGGATTAAAGGTGTGTACCACCACCACCCAGTCTAGATGAATACTTTTTAAAATGCAGTCTTAGGTCACATGCCTTTAATCCCAGCATTTGGGAGGCAGGAGGATTTCTATGCATTTAGGCCAGCCTAATCTACATAGTGAGCTCCAGGACACCAGGGATATATAGCAAGAACCTGTCTCAAAAATAAATAAAATGCACTTAGACCAACCTTAATAGCACACACTTTTAACCCCAGCACTCAGAAAGCAGAAGCATGCAGATCTCTGTGAGCTCCAAGTCAGCATGGTCTACATAGGGATATGATACCCTCCTCTGGACTCCATGGACACCACACACACACACACACACAATTAAATAAGTCTTGAAAAAAAGAGAATATAAAAATGTAAGGATTGTACCATCCACATCCTCCTCCATTGGACTATACTGCCCACATCCTCCTCCATTGTATTGTACCACACACATCCTTCTCCACTATCAGGAAGAAAATGTCTGGCAGAGTGCCCAGCCCATTTCCATGTGTGTCTCGTCTCCTAGAACTGTGTCCATGGGTAGCCTTTTTTCAAGGCAATGTTTGGGAAGACAAATATTTTGCCTGGATCTGGGCTTCTTGCCATTCTGAACACAACCAGACTTTCTTAGCAAAGGGGAACTGGGCATGGAAAAGGACATTAGCTGGCATCTCTGTGCAAAGCTTAACAAACAGTATTTAATGTGCAGAGTGAATGGGAGCTGCCCCTTGGGGTGAAGACAGAAGAGTCCTGAGCAGCTCAGTGTTCCCGAAGCACAAAACCCTCCCGGATCTTCCAAATATACTTGCTCATTTAGTCCTCAAGGAAACCTCACAAGGTTTTCTATGAATTTTTTTAATTATTTTTTTTCATTCTGTGGGCATGCCTGTGCACATGTGTGCCATGGCAGTCTTATGAAAACTATCAGAGGACAAATTCCCACCCTATGGGTCCTGGGTATCAGACTAAGATTCAGCCATTCTGTAGAGTTGCCACCAGAGTTCATTTTGACAATTATTTAACATCCTCATTGTGGGACTCTGTGGCAATTTATTCCTTTATATTTGTATTAATTATTGTTATGTGTGTATGATGGGGGTCACATGTGTCATGCTGTGTGTGTGGCAGTCAGAGGACAGCATTGTGGAGTCAGTTCTTTTCTCCCAGCCTTATGCTGGGACCAAATTCACGTCATCAAGCTTGGCAACGAACACTGCTTCCCACCATGCCTCATCTCCAGCTCATCCTTTTCATTTTTAGTTCATTTATTTTATGTACACAGTGTCTTGACTACATGTGTGTCTGTGTGAAGGTGCCAGATCCCCTGGAACAGCTACAGGCAGTTTTAAGCTGCCATGTGGGTGCTGGGAATTGAACCCAGGTCCTCTGGAAGAGCAGTCAGTGCTCTTAACTTTTGAGCCATCTCTCCAGCTCCAAGCCCATTCTTTATTGAAGTGGCTCCTACATTTTTTTTTTCTCTGTTTTGAGACAGGTTTTCCTGTAACTCAAACTGTCCTTTAAGTCACTATGCCACCAAAGATGACCTTGTATGAGCTCTTCCCTTTTCTACAAAACGTGTGTGTTTGTATTTGTGTTTATATTTGTGTTGTCGATGTGTATGTTGTATGTGTTTTTGTGTTTGTATGTCTATTGTGTGTGTGCTTCTATATATATGTGTTTGTGTGTTTTGTGTGTTGTGTCTGTTTGTATGTGTGTGTTGTGTGTATGTATGTGTGTGTTGTGTGTATCTGTGTGTGTGCCTGTTGTTTGTGTGTGTTGTGTGTATGTCTGTGTGTATATGCGTGTCTGTCTGTGTTTGTATATGTGTGTGTTTTGTCAGTTATTAACATCAGGACTCAGGGAGAGACAGACCAATAAAGACTTTGACATAGCAGACTTGATGCACACAGAGAGTCCTTGGTGTCAGCAAGGAGGAAGATTGGGAAAGGCAGGGCATGTCAATCCATTGTGACTGTTTCCTTGCTGAGGTGGCGTTTGTTTCTTTGAACAATCTGGCAGACTTGGGTTTGGATCATGAGCACCTACCTTTGAAGAATTCCCTGCATGCTGACAGAAGCCTCCCCCACAAGAGAATGGAATTTTCCTCCCTGTCTATGGCCCAGCCTGGGGGCTGGCTTCTGAAAAGTGGAATGCTGGGATGGTCACTGTGGGACACAAGACATCAAGCTAGGCTTGGTTTTCTGGAACAGCTGGGGAGCCAGTCTTCAGGCTGTGGAGAATAGCAGGTGTCCTCCTCTGTGACTTTGAAATGGGTCTCTCACTGAACCTGAAACTCTCTTTTTCCCTAGGCTGGCTGACCAGTGAACTGTCCCCAATCCAGGGGCCTGAATTACAGGAACAGGCCACTGTGGGGGTTTTTCAATGGGACTTGAACTCAGGTCCTCTGCAAGCCCTTTTCCCACAAGGAGCCATCCAGCCCTCCTCCCCACCCCCTCACCCCTAGTCAAGTTCAACATCTTTTGCCAGCTAAAGCTGTTACTTCCCATTTCCCTTCTTCTCTCTGTTTGCAAGAGGGATGGAGATGGAGGCAGAGAGCCTGGTGCTTCCTGCATGGACAGAAACTGAGTTCCCGATGGATTGCTTGTCTCCACAGGGGGCATGAAGCAGCAGAATTGGTGTGGGCTGACGGCCAAGATGGGCACGGTGCTGTCAGGGGTCTTCTCCATCATGGCCACTCACATGCACGTCATCTTCGAAAGAAAGCATCTGGGGAACGGCAACTGCACGGATAACCTCCAGAGTCGTGGCATCGATGTGGTAAGCCACTTCCTCATCTGCTGGAGCTTCAAGATCGTCCTCCTCCTATCCTTCATCACCATGGCGGTCAGCGGCTTCCTCCTCTATTCTGTGTATGCCCAGATTTACGGGGGTCTCATGTGTTACACTATCTGGATCTTCACCTATGAGTCCATCAACCTCGCCATTCAGATCCTCACCAATGAGTTCAGCGTGGCACTGGTCAGAGCCATGCGCTGGTTTGGCTGGGTGTCCCGTGCATCTCTACACAGCTTCTGTTTGTACTTTGTTGTGACCCATGCCCAAATCATCTACCAGAGTAAAAAACAGGGCAACATACTCTCTTACCATAGGCGTATCTCTTTAGGAACCGGAGACACTCCACGACGGAAATCAAAGATTATAAATTTTATCCACCACAATGATTAAAGGTGGCCGTTTTCCAACTGTGGAAGTTCCCAGTCCCCCCCCCCGTCCACCTTTTTTATTTGTGGGGGGAAGGGCTGATTTTACTATGCTATATCTTCTTTAGCCTCAACCCCTAGCTATGTCTCCTGTTATAGTCCAAATAAGTACAAAAATAAAAAGAGAAAAAGCCATTCTTTAGTTTCTCTCTTGAGTGTCACCTCCAACAAAGTTTGTCAAGAAGCAGTCAGAGGGGCTGGAGAGTTGGCTAGGCAGTGAAGAACACAGGATGCTCTTCCAGAGGACCTGGGTTTGGTTCCCAGAATCTACACAGCAGCTCACAACCATCTGTAACTCCAGTTCTAGGGGATCCAGTGCCCTCTTCTGGCCTGCACAGGCACTGCGCATACACACACACACACACACACACACACACGGTGCACACATGTACATGCAAACACTCACACACCGTCTTAGTCACTGTTGTATTGCTGCAGAGAGACACTGTGACCAAAGCAACTCTTACAAAAGAAAGCATTTAATGGAGGGGGGGGGGTGGATGCTTACTTACAGTTTCTGAGGTCTACCTCTAATATCACCATGGTGAGGAACATTGTGACTCCCATGGTGCTGGAGAAGTAGCTGAGAACTTTTACATCCTAACCCAACGGCAGCAGGCAGAGAGAGAGAGAGAGAAAGAGAGAGAGAGAGAGAGAGAGAACCTGGGCCTGGAAAGAGGCTTTTGAAACCTTAAAGCCCACCCCCAGAGACACACTTCCTCCAGCAAGGCCACGCCTCTTAATCCTTCTAATTCTTTCAAATAGTGCCACTCCCTGGGACCAAGCATTCAAATATAAGAGCCTATGGGAACCATTCTCATTCAAACCACCACACCCATATAAAAGGAAAATATATGAATCTTTAAAAATAAATGTCCAGCGAGACAGTGGTTGATACATGCCTTTAATCCCAGCACTCAGGAGGCAGAGGCAGTTGGATTTCTGTGAGTTTGAGGCCAACCTGGTCTACAGAGTGAATTCCAGGACAGCCAGAGCTACACAGAGAAATCCTGTGTCAAAGGTGCCTGCCTAATCAAAAGGGATCTGGGAAACTTGTTGTCTCTTGCTATGCTATGAATGATGGTTCAGTGAGTAAACGCACCAGGCCTGAGGACCCGAAGTCAAGATGCACAGAGAACTGACTCCTAGAGTGTTGCTGTCTGATCTTCACATGTGCACTGTGTGAGTAGTCTGCCCCCCCCACATACACGTAAAAAAAATAAAAAGCTGGGTGTTGGTGGTGCACATCTTTAATCCCAGCACTCAGGAGGCAGAGATAGGTGGATCTCTAAGTTCGAGATCAGCCTGGTCTACAGAGCGAGTTCCAGAACAGCTTCCAAAGCTACATAGAGAAACCCTGTCTCAAAAAACAAAACAAACAAACAAAAGATAAACAAAAGAGGGCTGGAGAGATGGTGCTGTTATTAGGAATGCTTGCTACTCTTACAGAGGACCAGAGTTTGATTCCCAGCACCCACCAGTTACCTCACAACTGCCTGTAGCTCCAGTTCCACAGTTCCAGTAGGCTCTGATGCCTTCTTCTGGCACTGCACACCTGTATGCATATATGCACACACACACACAGAGAGACACACAGATAAAAATATTTTTTGTTTAGAGACAGGATCTCATTATGCAGTCTTAGCTGTCTTAGAACACACTTTGTAAACCAGGTTCAGGTTGGCCTCAAACTCATAGAGATCCACCTGCCTCTGCCTCCATAGTGCTGGGATTAAAAAAGTGTGCCACCATACCTGACCCAAAAAGAGGTTTTAAAAATGAAGAGGAAATTTAGCCAGGTATGATAGTCTTTGGAGACCCCAGTGATGCCAGATGCATGGGTGGTAGAAGAATTTACCGGAGTCTAGGACAGACATGGAGAATTGCTTGAAATGGCCTATACAAGGCACAATAGGCTTGTCCCCACAGTGTGGGGGGACCTCTCTGCTGGGAAGACAGTAAAGCTCTGTTGGTGGAGTTAAGAATGGCTAGATATTTTTGGGCAGAGGACCTGGATGAGGTACCTATCTGCATGACTCTGCACACATCTCACTGTTTTCCTTAAAAGTTTACAGTGTGACTTCCTTCTTTTTGAACTGGCTACGTGTGCATGATGTCATGAGTCACTAGGGTCAGACGGTAAATCTTCTGGGCCTGTTTGATAAGGTTTGAAATTACCTATGCTAGTATTCCACTGACTTCTCTCTCTCTCTCTCTCTCTCTCTCTCTCTCTCTCTCTCTCTCTCTCTCTCTCTTTTTTTTTTTAGACAGGGATTCTCTGTGTAGCCCTGGATGTCCTAGAACTCACTCTGTAGACCAGGCTGGCCTTGAACTCAGAAATCCACAGGCCTCTGCCTCCTGAGGGGTTAAAGGCGTGTGCCTCTTAAACTACCCTCAATACTGTCACAATGACAAATTTAGCATGAGTTTTAGATGGGAAAAGCATGCAGATATAACACAGTCCATGTGTGATGTCTCTGTTAAAGTTTCTATTGCTGTGATGAAACATCGTGATCAGTGCAGCTTATTTAGCTTATACTTCCACATTCTTGATCATCATCAAAAGAAGTCAGGACAGGAACTCCAGCAGGGCAGGAACCTGGAGTCAGGAGCTGATGCAGAGGCCATGGAGGGAGCTGCTCACTGGCTTGCTCCTTGTGGCTTGTTCACCCTGCTTTCTTATAGAACCAGGACCATATACCCAGGGATAATCTCACCCACCATGGACTTGGCCCTTACTTCCCACCCGTCAATCACTAAGAAAATGTCCTACAGGTTTGCCTCTCCCCCCCATCCTATGGAGGCATTGTCTCAGTTGAGGCTACCTCCTCTCCAGTAACTCTAGCTTGTATCACCTTGTCATAAAACTAGTCAGCCCCGCTGGGCATTGGTGGCACATGCCTTTAATCCCAGCCCTGAGGAGGCAGAGGCAGGCAGATCTCTGTGAGTTGAAGGCCATCCTGGTCTACTGAGCTAGTTCCAGAACAGGTTCTCAAACAATACAGAGAAACTCTGTCTTGCAAAACCAAAAAAACCAAAACCAAACCAAAACAAAACAAAGACAAAAAACAAAAAACAAACAAACAAACAAAAAACAAAAAACTAGCTAGCCCAGGTGTGTGCATGCAAACCGTAGATTAGCTGGAAGTTGTGTATAGGAGGGGGGGGGGCAGTGGGAAAGTGTTACAGTACTAAGGATTAAACTCAAATCCTCCTCAATACTAAGCAAATGTCCCAGCATTTGGGAGGCAGAAACAGGTAGATCTTTCTAAGTTCAAAGCCAGCCTAGTCTACAAATTGAGTCACAGGACAGCCAAGGCTGTTACACAGAGAAACCCTGTCTCAAAAATAATTGTAACCGTCCAGTGAAGTGGGTACCAGGGAATAACAGAATCTCATGTCTCCCATACCAGCCTCAAACTTGCTATATAATAAAGAATGGCCTTGAAATTAAGATCTCCCTGTGTCTACCTAGGAGGTGCTAAGATTATCAGTTTGTGCTGCCACAGAAGGCATATGTAGTAATGGGCATGGAGTCCACACCTCCTAATCTTTTCCAAACAGTGCCATCAACTAGGGACATATGTCTTAAGACATATGAGCCCATGGGGGCCATTCTCACTGACATCACCATGTACGGCCTTATAAGGTATGTGCAGTGGTTTGAAAGAAAATGGCCTCCAAAGCAAGGGGCACTATTAGGAGTGTGTCTTTGTTGGAGTAGGTGTGGTCTTGTTGGAGAAAGTGTGTCACTATGGGGGATGTGCCTTGAGTTCTCCTATGCTCAAGCTACTCCCAGTGTCACAGTTGACTTCCTGTTGCCTTCTGATCAAGATCTAGCCAGCGCCATGCCTGCCTGCACACTTCCATGCTCCCTGCCATGGTAATAATGGACTAAACATCTGAAACTGTACATGAGCCACTTCAATTAAACGTCATCCTTTATAAGAGATGCTGTGGTCGTGGTTGTCTCTTCACAGCAATGGGAACCCTATTCTATGTCCCAACAAGATGGGTCCAGCTGCTTAGGTGAGACCACAGCCTAGACTCTTAGCCTGCCTTCCCTTGGGTCATGGTTGTGGAATAACCTTTTTACACGCTGTGGAGATGTCTTTGCCAAGGTGCTTTCTGATTGGTTTAATAAAGAACTGAATAGCTAGGCAGGAAGAGGTTAGGCGGGATTTCCAGGTAGAAAGAGACTTCCAGGTAGAGAGAGCAGGAGAGGAGATGAATCTAGGCAAGGGAGAGAAGTCAGGGGACATGGAGAGGAAATAGGAGGTACAAGATGGAAAAGGGAGAAAAAGCCATGAGGCAAAATGTAAATTAATATGAATGGGTTAATTTAAGTTGTAAGAGCTAGTGGGAAAAGCCTAAACTATAGGCTGAGCTTTCACAATTAACTATAAGTCTCCGTGCCATTTTTTTTGTGAACTGGGAACCCAAAAAATGTCTGTCTACAGATTGCCTGTGCTTGTTGGCTCCCTAATTATCCCTATCGATTTGGGGAATTGGTCTTGGACTAACTCTGCCTCTTATCATGTTTATTCCTGATTTTCTCCTTCAGGACCAGCCCTGGTGAGTTCAGTATACAATGAATGCCAGGATGCTATCCACCATGGCAGGCATCTTCTCCATACTCAACACCATCCAATTCTTCATCTTTGAACTGAATCAGATAACACACATTGGCTTCGAAGACAAATACAGCATCTACCTGGACACAGATTCCGAGGTCTCATCCTGGGCTGTGGTCTACAGGAACAACATCAGCATAGGCCTGTCCATTACCACCATCACCATCAGCTGCTTCTTCCTCTTCTGCCTGGACAAGAACATATTTATTGGGCTGATAATCTACACCCTGTGGATCATCACTTACGAGCTCTTCAGCTTCACCATGGTCCTTTTCATCTACAGCACCATCAAGGAGCAATTCAAGGACCTGGGCCATCTGTACTTGGTCCTGCAAATCTTCCGCATGCTCCTGCATTTTACCCCTCTTCCCTTCATTGTCAAGCATGGCTACACGCTGTACAAGGACCCCAAGACTGTGAGCATAGCCGGCCGCCGCAAGCGCTCCTCCATCAGCACAGTGGACTCATGGCCACCTGTAGGGCTGGGCTCTTTGTACCGCAAAACAAACTGAACCAGGAATGGCTATGGCAGATCCCTCCCTTCCTAGCCTTGGTCTGTCTTGTCTTTTTAGGGTTTTTGATTTATATGCATGGGGGTGGAGAGAATGCAGCTTGTTTTAACATTGGTTATCTAATGATATATTTGTATGTTACCTTTGTGTTGACTATCTTGTTGGTACCTATTTTTAATGCTTTCCAAAAACTATTTCATGTTTATCTTTTTTTTTTTTTTTTTTTTTTTTTTTTTTTTTGAGACAGGGTCTTATTATTTAGCCCTGGAAGTCAACATGTAGTCCAGGTTGGCCTCAAACGCACAGAGCTCTTCCTGTCTCTGCCTCTCTACGATTAACAGCATGTACCACCACACCCAGCCTTTTTTTTTTTTTTTCTAATCATCTTTAAAGATTTATTTTAAGCTGGGCAGTGGTGGTGCAGGCCTTTAGCCCCAGTCCTTGTGGATGTGCACATTCATGCACGTGAGTACAGGCCCACAGGTGCCCTGTGTGCGGAGGTCAGTCCTCGGCTTCCAGGTTTGAGGTGAGGCCTTGTCTTCCTTGTTGAGGCCACATCACCAGGTGAGCTGACCTGTGGGCTTCCAGGATCCTCCTGTCTTTACCTCCCATCTTACCGTGAGACAGCTGGGATTACAGATGTTTACAGATGCATGCACGCTGCAGGCCTGGCTTTGCCGTGGCTTTCCCTGACTCCCGTGGATTCAAAGCAGGTTTCCATGCTTCTGAGGCAAGCACTTCACCTGCTGTGTCATTCCCCGGGCCTTGTCTCTACCTTTTATCCCAGGTTGGCCTCCAACTCTCAATTAGCTGAAGATGACCCAGATTCTCTGATCTTCCTGCCTCCAGATGCTGGGATCACCGACAGACAACAGACATCATATCCCGTTTATACAGTGCTAGAGATCCAACAGGGTTTTATTCGTGCTAGAAAAGCACTCTACTGGGGTTGAAAAGATGGCTCTGTGGTTACAAATACTGGCTGCTTTCCCAGAGGATCTGGGTTCAATTCCCAGCACAGGCATACACGCAGGTCAAACACCAATGCACACAAAATAAAAATAAATAAATCATTAAAGAAAAAAAAAGAAACAAAAAGAAAAACACTCTACTGAGTGCATGAGTGCATCCCTAGTCAAAAAGCCTTGGGAAAAAAAAAAAGATTAATTGATTCGGGGAAAAGTCTCTGTGTAGTACCAGCTAGCCTGGAACTTACATCAGTTAGGCTGGCCTGGAACTCACAGAGTTCCACCCACCTCTGCCTCCTGAGTGCTACGACTGAAGGTGCCACCTTTAATATGTCACCTCACCCTACTTTAAAGATGTCTTTTTAATCTTTTAATTATGTGTTGGCGTGTGTATGTAAGTGTGGGTGTGTGTGCACCACCACGAGTGCACGTTCCCAGGAAAGAGGCCATTGATCAGATTCTCTGGAGCTGCGTTACAGGTGGCTGTGATCCAGAGTGGGGTGCTGGGAACCAAACCCAGGACCTCTGCAAGAACAGCACACGCTCTTAACCTCTGATACATCTCTCCATGCTCCTAAAAAAAAACCCTATTTTAAATCTCCATGCTGAGAACTGGTGTCAGTGAAGAGCCACCTTCAGGGTGTGTGCTTTACATTCAAGCCACACCTTACAGCCTTATACACATTATTCTTATGGCTTGACAACACAGAGGCTGGAGAGAGGGAGGGAGTGATGTTTCCAGGTCACACAATAAAAACAGGACTTCCTTTGGTCATTCTGGCTGACCTCCAAAAGAAGATGCAGTATAAGCTACCTAGTACCTTCTGTACACTTCTGAACTCCTAGCATGCCACAGCCCTAACGCAGAGTGGGACAGCAGGGTTACCTTCCTACAGTACATGCTTACATTCTGCCCCGTACCTTCACTAACTAGCCTGCAGGACGCAGGCATGATGGCGGTATCAGCCTGGAATTCAAGGTCACCCTCATCTACATATCACATCTCAGGCCAGCCTGGACTGCTTAAGACCATGAGACCCTGTATGGGAAAAACAAAACAACAGAAAAGCCAGAAGCTGGGTGCACTGGGGACAGAGGGTGACCCCAACTGCACCCAGCACTTGGGAGGCTGAGACAGGCCACTCTGTGAGTCTACAGAGAGAGTTCTCGTCCTACATAATAAAACCCTGTCTCAAACAATAAAATAAACCTTTGGGAGTAAAGGAGAAGGGTTAGTCACGAAGGGGGTTCGCGTGTATGGAGACCAGAGGTAGATGACAGAAGTCCATTGTCACGCCCCTTATCTACCCTCCAGACAGGGCCCTCTCAATGAACCTGGGTTTGCTGTTTCTTGGCCAAGCTGCTGGCCAGAAAAGCCTCCTGTCTCAGCCTCTAGTACTGGTATTACAGGTGCACACCGTCCTCCAGGCTGGATACTATGAACTGAACTCAGGTTCACATACTTATGAAGCCCTTACCCACTGAGCCTTTTCTCCAGACCCCAACACTGTCTTTCTGGACCACACTCCTCCCAAGCCTGAGCCGCCTGGCAGCTGTGACTCACTGAACTCAATCAGCTAGCTCCAAGAAATGAATTTTGAGGCCTAGAGAGATGGCTCAACAGTTAAGAGCACTGATTGCTCTTCCAGAGGACCTGGGTTCAATTCTAAGCACCCACATGGCAACTAACAACTGCCTGTAACTCCAAGATTTTACACCCTCACACAAACATGCAGGTAAAACACTAATGCAAATAAAAAAAAAAATAATAATAAATGAATGAATGAATTTGGAGCCGAGGAAGTTCTTCAAGGTATCACTAGATGGCAGTCGGTGACAAGTTTCTAATTAGTATTGTTGGCCAAAACCAGATTCTCCAAGCAGGGCTGAAACCTGCAACAGGATCTAACTCTCTACCCTAGTGTCTTTGACTGAACTGGGAACTGGAGAACCAAAGAAATGAAGCCATGAGCTGTCCAGGAATAATCTCAATTCAGAGATACTTGAGCTGGGCCATCACACCTGCTGAGGCAGGGGGATCAAAAAGCTCCAGACCTGCCTGGGCTGGAGTGAGTAGTCCAAACAAACCCCAGCATCTTAGTGAGACTCTATCACCAAATGAAAAGTAAAAAGAGGGCTGGGCCGGGGAGCTGCAGTCGATAAGCATTTGCTGCAGGAGCCTGGATGCCACCCACAGTGAAGAGAGAGCCTCACCCTGAAAAGCTGTCCTCTGATGTTCACACGCACACAATGGCTACCATGCACCAGTACACACAGACACACAGTAATAATAATAAACATATTTTTAGGCTTTTAAGAGAAGAAAGAAGGTAGGAAACTCTAAGGCACCATACACAAATCCCAGCTCCTAAAAATACCAAAACCCCCAAAGGCACGGTTGTCCTTACCTCCTCTCTGTTCCCCACTCTGTTACCCTCTGATGCAGCTTCACACCTCCTTCCACCAAGGCTGCTTCTGTTAGGGTGGCCCCTTTGTCTAATCCAGACTTTCCCATCATCACCCCTGCTCCATGAGCCTGTGACAGATAGATGCAGCCTCTCCTGCCAACAGGTGTCTCCTGGGGCTCATGGACACCAATGTGTCTGTTCCCATTCCTACCTTCCCAAAGACCTATCCTCCCCTGACTCCAAATGCCAGGGCTCAGTCCCACCCTCCCCTGGGCTTCCCTCTACCCTGATGAGCCCCACACAGGGTTCTAGTTTTGACCTCTCTGAAATTCAGTTTGTTTATGAAACTGCTTTCCTGAGCCCTCTCACATAGCTCAGCAAGAGCTGCTCAGGGCATATGCCGTTTGAACAAACAGCCTAGCAAAGGGATAAGATGTTGCTTCTAAGGTGAAGTCACAAAGAGGTGATAGGAGTCAGAGGAGGGGCTGAGGGTCAGAGGCGAGAATCAATTCCCACAGGTTGTCTTCTGACCTCCACACTGGCACCCTGGCTCTGCAGCCCACACACATAAATATATAAATGCAATTTAAGGTCTGGAGAGATGGCTCAGTGGTTAAGAATACCGGCTGCTCTTTTGGAGATCCTGAATTCAATTCCCAGCAATCACTATTATAAATCTGGTGCCCTCTTCTGGCGTTAGGAATATATGCAGGCAGAACATATACATAATAAATAAAAATAAATAAATGGGGGCTGGAGAGATGGCTCAGTGGTTAAAAGCACTGGTTGCTTTTCCAGAGGACCTGGGTTTATTTCCCAGTACCCACATGGCAGCTCACAACTGTTCGTAACTCCAGTTCCTGAGGATCTGACACCCTCACACCAATGCACATAAAGTTAAAATAAATAAAAGTAACGTTAAAAAATTTAAGTCTATTTAAAATTATATCAAGCTATGCAGTAATATACATCTTTAATCCCACCACTCAGGAAGCAGAGGCAGGCAGACCTCTGAGTTTGAGGCCAGCTTGGTCTACAAAGCAAGTTCCAGGACAGGCTCCAAAGCTACACAGAGAAACCCTGTCTTGGAAAACTGAAAAATCAAACAAACAAAAACCCAACTGGACATTATATTTATTTGTGAGGAGGGGCTGGTGTGCCATGGAGCACTTGCAGAAGTCAGAGGACAACTTGTGGAAATCCTTCTACCATATGGGTCCCAGGGTTCAAACTCAGTTGTCAAGCTTGGCGGCAAGTGCCTTTACCTGAGCTATCTCACCCACTCTGAAGAAAACACTTTTTAATACCATAAGGATTTCAGTGTGGCTGGTACCAAGAAGCCAGCAGCCTCGTTGGGAAAGTCCCTACAGAGACATTTATTTGACTGTGAACTAATGTCCCCAAACAACAGACCCCCAAGTAGCTGGACCCTACCAATAACCCACGAGTGACCTTGGAGGCACTTCCTCCTCCAGTCACCTCAGGTGACAAATTCCAGGCTCTCACTGGAGCTAAGACACGCTAACTGTGAATGGTTTTCTCCACCAAGTGTGGGGTTACTTGTTCCTCCTAGTAGCTGAAGCTGGGAAAATGTCTGCTTGCACGTGTCCAGCCACTTTCCTCACTGGTTTCAGAGGTCACTGAGCTAAGTGAACCAATG